CTTCTTCTTACTCTTTTATTGGATTCGACGATGAGCAGTTTTTATATTACACACCCTTGTGTGATGAACAGCAAAAGGGATAAATCCAATGGGTATGAAGAACTACTGTTCACTCATGGCAAACTTAGCCCTTTGACTGAGTGGCAATGCACATTAAGTCATGATAGTATAGCCGTGGTATTGAACCGGATAACAGTGAAGCACCTTGCCATTAAAACAGTGTATAGGTGATTGGGTTCGAACCTGGTACCTCAGGATCCACGCTATTGACAGTGAATTAAACCTGTAAATCACCATCACTCTATGTGTTGTATTGCTCAGAAAATAGCCAAAGACTGAGGCCTATTAACCTGACAGAAATATTTCACTGCTCACCCGAGTCCCACACAGTCTGAATCCATCTTCTGAGTTGGGGACCCCTAGAGGTTCTTATCACCCCACCATATATGGGCAACACAAATCAATAGAAAACAACAATCAAACGCTCCGCGTTCATGTGACCCACGAGTAGTGGTAGTAGTAGTATTAAAAGCACTGACCAATTTCCACTAAACAAATACAGTCATTCCCGCCCAGATCACTAAGTTCACTTGATCGTTTCTTCGATGCCATCAAGCACATGTATTGGATCATCCACAGATCGGGCAAATCATCTAGTCAAATCTCTTAATTCGTCTGCCACAGTCTGTAATGAAATCGTTTGGTTTGGTACCACATACACTCTTCGAGAAATCACTACCAGGAATTGGCTTCACACTGGTGCTCACTGACGATAACGTGGGCATGAGTGTTTTGCCAATAAAGGTGATATTATCATACGGCGTGGATCAAACATTATTCAATGATCCCGCACAGTTCACTATTGGATTCCCCACGTAGAAGAGGTTTTACGCACACGCACACATATGCACACACATCTGGGAGTTCATTGATTTCCCTCGAAAATAATAACTCACAAGTAACCGTGTACTAAATGTAAAATAATAATAAACTTTTATTATCACTTTTTGAATAATCAATCGAAAGTGGACGAATAATGGACTATCCTGGGGTTCAGAGTAGTAGGGAAGTTAGGCAGCGATAATGTGATGATCTGCACCACATGATCACCTACACCAATGTTGTGATACCAATTAAAAATATATTGTCAGAGCCACGTTTACAACCCGTGATTTCAGAGGATAAAGAACTTGTAGTTTCGTATTACAACAATTTAAGTGAGTGCATGTGAGTGTCTGTGTTTGTAGGTTTGAGTAAATGGAGAGGAAAGAGGATAGCGCCGGAAAATATCATGCAACCGTTTGATTACGAGCATATGACCCCTGGTGATCATGGCCTATAGTTTCCAATCATTCACAACATGATACTCCGAACCACCATGAAGGGAGAGAGAGAGAAAGTGGAAGTGAAACAGAGAGTAGAGATGGTAGTGATGAGAATGATCGGGATAACAAACAAATACGTGTTCGCATGACTGACTATTGCACGCACATTTCTGTTTGTTTGTATAAGTTAGAAGGAAAACCGCAAGACATGCACCGTGATTTGCATTCAGATTTTATTCATCATCGAAAATGTCCGATCGGTCTACACATATTATGTTACATTGCTGGAACGGCATTCAAGCTGGTGTATTTGTGATGGGCCATCGTTTCAGGACAAATTCTTCTTCCATCGTAACAAGCTCTTACCCCGACCGCTCAAATGATTGTTTCGGGGATTGTGTGATTATCCTTTTCCGTTGTATTGGCCTTTGATACATACGATCCCATTGGTACGGATTCACACGTAGGGCGGACGCGGAGATTTTGATATGCGCGTCACGTGACATGCTGGTTCACGTAAAAAAGCGACCAACCTGCCGCGCGTTAATGTGTCGTTACTGTGGCTAAACCGCAAGAGTGAGATGAGTATCGTGTGTAGAATCATAAGCTGTAGTTTTGACTGGATACATCTTGAACAGCGAGGCTAGGATACCCGATCGGAAATTGTTATACGAAGGCATTTAGTCAGATTTCCAAGACAATCGATATTTAGCATGACTAAAAATTCGCGGACGAACAACGGTTACATTCGTGAGTGAGTCATGACCAAACCCAAACTACTCTTTTGATCGGTTATTTGCGGACGACTATAGAGTACGGGTTTGCATTCCATCTATGACTATAGTACCCTCAGTGAAAGTGGACTGGATCTGTTTCAGTTCTGCTTTGGTCACAACAAATAGCGTTCCTATATCATCGCAGTGGGAACTATTAGGCGAAAAATTTTAATAATTTGTGCTTGAAATTTTCAGAGAGGTCCGATAACGAATAAATATTAGGGAATTTCTTTTTCCATCGAAGACGAAAAAATCTTCCCTGAAACATGGGGATATGGGCCATTATCACTCCAACTCGTATTTTCAGAATTACATTTGTAGATGCAGTTGTGAAACAATTTCCCGTAGGATTTCTACGAGTTTGGCCTTATTAATGGTCCCTTAGTTAGTTGCCGTTTGACAATTGATTTTATCCACAGACTCTAAATGATATAAGTACAGGCCTAACTTTCCAACTATATTCATTCCACCGATGAAAAAACCCATGAGATTGATATAAAAAATTAGCAAAGAAAACCATGGCAAAGGATGCGTTACCAAAATCCTTTAATTATTGCCAAACTGGTAGAAAGCAAACGGAAATGTTTTTGCGAATACGTTTACCAAAGTGGTTTAGAAGCTCTCCACCAATTTTACCATCCTTGCCACTTGTCAGCTATGCGTGTGATGTGGATTATGAAATTCATGGTTTATTTGCGTCTCAGACATTCATTTAGCATTCACCAGCTTATTAATATACATTTTGGATACCGGTTAGAGATTCAATCAAAATTGATCCAACATCTCTGATATTATGACCATATAATAAGTTCTGCACCAAATAGTAATCTAAATTGAGTAAAGGTTCACTGCCGAAATAAATGAGATGATTTCTGGTCTTCTCGCGATATCATAGTCAGGCAGTTGATATTATCCAAGTAATTCATTTAAGAAATTTGTGTTGACCATAAGAAACAATAATATAAACAGTTGCAACCCTTTTGTAATTATTTTAGAAGTTCATACGATTTGCCATCTCATGATTGATTATGTTGTACGTTATCAAAAATATAGACACTCCGGTAGATCTCGGGAACGAATCTGACAGTAGTTTATCACATCTGTCTGTTCGATATCCGCTGAGGTCTAGCATTAGCAACCTTTGTATTTTTTTTATCGTGATGACCTATCAGTTGTTAAATCATGACACTATTTCTTTGCTTTATTTCCTAACTCGTGGTTGCGAAGGCAATGGAAGGCGCACACAACTTGACTAAATCCCCCACCCCAATTCACGCATCGGACTAGACATTCACCAGCTGACCGAACTATTTGCCGTCCAATGCTGGAAGAGAACGGTTGCAGCTACCTGATTGGTTCATTTCCGAACAGCGTAAGTGGCTGATTGGTTCGCATTCTGATTGGTCCACCGTTTGGTCAGACCGATAAAAGCACCGTCTGAGAAACCAGTCATCAAGACCAGAAAATCCGCACCAGCGATGGCGTTTGTTGGCACGCTTTCTAGCGGTCCGAGTGCAATGCACTTGGGATCGTCCATGCCACGCTTGATGTATGAACCTCGCTACACAACCGGTCTCAAAAAGACCGATTACTCGACAGAATCTGATTCATCTGGATTTGCTAGCTGCACACTGAGCACATGCACTACTTCTTCGGAATCGACTACGGTGCAGCTGTCACCCAATTCCTCCTCGTCGTCACCTGATAGCCTGCGGGTACAGGCAGTTCGAATGGATAAATCTTCACTCGCCACCAATCGACGCAGTTCATCGGGGCAAAAAATTGCAAAGCTTATTCACGCACTGACTCCATGCCGAGGCCGGATAGCTCGACGTAGTCACTCTTTCGGAGAGCTAACACACACAACTAGACTGTTGGATGGCAAATTGAGTGCCTCCTCATCCGGTACCGAAACACAAATGGTAAGTTCGGTAGTTCAGTATTTTTTTTAAGCTGTGTGGGTCGGTTGCATTCTTGCAATATGTCACTCCTCAAGCATTTGAAAACCCTAGCTTCATCACGCAGAGTTTGCAATGTAACAAGTGTGGTCCTTATATACGCAGGAGTGGACGTTATATTAAGCAAGTTGTTGTGTCTTGTCAAACTGACAAAAGCCTCGTTACGTGAGTGACGTGGTCGACCTGTGCCGGCCGGCAGACAACAATATTAATATTGTGGGCGTCATTCGTGTTTAGAACATTTTTTTAATTGATGTTTACATGAGGAACTGGTTTCTCAGTGTTGCACGCCCACATGTCCTCAATGTCGGACAAGATACAGTTTGCTCAATCTCAGTAGAGGCTGGTCTCCAAGCCAGATCATATGTCTCCCCGGTTGGGCAGTGTGACTCTGATTACTCGTTTGTGGCTCGGTCAAGCGCAAATATCGCTCGCACGCCGTATCGAAAGGGAGCGGGTGGTCGAGTAAGCGGGCTGATCGGGTGGTAATTTCCGTGTGTCATCACCCTGGTTACTGATGCTTTGACCAGTGGGGTAGTGATCTCCAGAATATGTAGACCGAATAGTTTTGCATGGTCGGTATGTGGGGGGGGGGGTGACGTAGACGGAAACGATGGGAGCGTAAACAGACAACTGCTGTGATTGGAAAGATTGTTTGTAGACTGACTGACGATTTATAAGGCGGAATTCACCGTGCACGGCACCTGCCTTTAGTCAAGGCTTGCGATTTGATGGGTGTATCGATTGATTCGTCAGGGAATGGATAGGCCTGTGCCATATGATCAGTACCAGCAACCCTATCCCTGTCCAAACTGCCATTTAAACGGGGGCATTGATCTCTTGATTCTTAAAACAGGTAACAAGAAGCTGAATTTTCGAAACACGTTAGGTTTTGTTGATCCGCATCGGGATGACGTTGCTCCTCATCCCGAATGGGGACAGAAAAAGAGCATGTAGCACATTTCAGACAAGACTGCCTATGAGAGAAGGACTGACCAGTGTATGAAGAACTACTATCACAAGAAATAACACTTGAAGCCTAGTTCAAGGATAACGGAACCATGCTGATTATGTGATGGAGTGCATCTAATAGGAAAGCTCGGAATGGCGTATTTGCGTAAGTGGAGAAGAAACGAGTGTTGCCCGACGGCGGACCATATGGCGCTGATATTCCTTTTTCGAGGACTCTTTAAACCACAGGGGCCTACATCAACCGAGCCAGTGTTACCCCATTCAATTTAACTGACTGAAAGGCCGGATTTTTTCATACAACAATTTGTTACGGATCGGGGGTTAAAACTGGTGCCTGCTGTGTATGGGTTGTGGGAGAAATGGTATTTCGTGGTCTTTTTCTAGGCGTCAGTTTTCGTCCGATCGCCACCGCTATGGTAAAGACAAAGACTAATTTCATATTCTCTATACAGGCACCCGGATAAACAACAGTCCAATCCAGGGAACAATGGTGGGCATGCGAGAAGCAAGAATTGTTTTTTCGATAAACTTCCCCGTTTCCAACAGTCAGATGGTGGAGCGAGTTGATTAGGCATGGCATTTTCCATTGAAGCGTTCGTACTCTGACCGTCGGAGTCGCGCGCGCATCGCTTCAACTACCACTCCCCCTCCCCCCACTATTGACGCGAATGAGTTGCTCGTTTTTTTGTTTTTCCCCTCAACCTGTGCTGCTGCACGTGACCCGGATTCACAAACCCCGCGTGTGTATGTGTGTTAAAACGAAGCGTGCGAGCGTATACTAGTGTTGACAAATTTCCTGCTCATACACTATAGTCAAGAGCTATTCACACACCCGACGAGATTATTCCGATAGTCACTGTCCGAGTGACTGCCGGATGAGGACGGGGGTGGTGTGCATTGTATCCCTCTTAGTTGGGCAGTACAATCGCGGTTGCCAGGGTTATTATTTGACTCAGCGCAGTGCTGAGTAGCATAGTCTATAGTTTATCAACCTGACCGCTGAATGCCCTTCGATCAATCCAATGTCGTTACTATTGATCGTTACCTCGGTAGTCGGATACATGTGAAAATCGAAGATTCGGTTTTTTTTCCTGCAACGTTGTACAAATACATGTGATTTCGCTTCATCGCAACCTGACAATTTTTCACACCGTCGTTGCTATTCAATAATTGCATCCACACTCCAACTAGATTAATGACAAACAAAACTCATCTGAAGATCTGATCGTGTTCAACCCTTACTCACGCCAGATTAAGAACACCTCAAAGCATTTCAAGTGTTTCTCTTCACAGACGAATGAACTGTCTAGCTTTTTGATCGCTCGAGGCAATCCGTAAAATAAGAACGATTCAGTTGATGATAGTATAATGATGAAGTTATTGTATTGCTTCATTGGTTTTGAAAATACCCATGTCTTATGCTTTTGACATTAACATTCTGTTTCCACCGTAGTTACTGTCTGGATCGATCACACCCACTCACATGGCCCTGTCTACTTCTGATCTGAAGTACTGCGGTGATGTCCCTGCTCGCGTTCCCCCATCTTATTCGCATCAGCTGGACATTTCCATCACTGACCCGACCGTGGAACTATACGAGTTTCGTCGCTTGTGGCCTGCTTCATTCACGGCTTTGATTACCAATTATTTGGGCTTTTTGACTTTTACACCGGAAGATGTCGACCGGATTCGAGAAGCATTGATCAAAGAGGCGAAGACCAGCCGACCGGCAGTTAGCACCGCGAGCACGACCGGTCTGGCATCAGAACTGATCCCGGAGGTATCCGGCAAGGAACAGTCCTCGAGACGGCGTGTTTGCACTCCTCAGAAAAACGGTCGTGCCAATGGTTAGTTCGCATTTTGTTGTTTCGTGTCAATGATGTGCATGTGATACAGGCACTTGTTAACAGCTCACAATGAGCATATTTCAGGAGCGCGAATTAGGGGTGTATAAAATTATCTTAGTTCACGGTAGAAATCAACACAGATTTGCGATGCATAAATCCGGCATTTTAAACTTCATAACATCTTATCTCGTTTCCTTTTCAATCTTCAGACAAAGATCTTGAACACTGGTACGTGGTAGTCAATACAATGCTGAACTACCTGCTGGAAGATAAACGATGTAAGTGTTTGTTCCTCTCTGGTTCTCTTTCAGTTCTTTCTAATGTCCACCAATTATACTTCATGTACTTTCCTCAACTTTCTTTTTCTATAGTCAAACATCGTTTTATCCTACGCCGACCTGGCAATCACTCCAGCGTGAACGAGCTTGAACGAATTCTGTTTCCACCTCGTAGTCGGCCGCTTTCAATGAGCGTACGAAATCGGGTTAGTGATCAGCCGGAAGAAAGACTGCACTACCCAGCCTTGGTTTCCGAGGTTCTCGACGTGCTGCGTCGCTATGACGCTCCGGTTGTTGCCTGTCTCCTAGCCCGTGTGCTTCGGCGTAATGGCTTCGGCCTAATCCCAACTCACCTTCGTGGCCTGTTTCTCCAGCTGGTCGCCGGTGCGAAAGAGCATAACGAATTGCATCAACGTCGTGCCATTCGACTGCTGTTTCAGTTCGTCCCTCGGCGCCTGCTTCGTTCCGTAATCCGTCCGGTGTTCGAGCTTTTAGCGTGTGTGGCAAATGAACCCGATTGTGAAGTGGACGAGTCCAGTCTGGCTGTACTCTTTTCTCCCGTTTTCTTCCTCGATCGAACCACAACCACACCGGCTTCTCTAGCCAATCCACTACCGATTCGGGTGGTGCACCTGTTCGTGGGATTCGCAAAACACGAACAACAAATACATCAATCTGTGACGCGTTTGTTTCAAGTACCGAGCCTGTTCCAGGACGATTGCACACGTAATTTGAAACTACACATGGTACGACTTCATTGCATGACTTTGTACAAAGTTTATCCCTCATTTTATTCATAACTCAATTTGATCCGCGTGAAAACCATTACTGTAGACGGCAATCGGTCTCACTGTATCTAACGTCTTAGAACATTCAGTCATCACCCGCCGCTCATTTTGACCTCAAGATGTGCGGTCAACTGAGAATGGTTCGGCCTAGTGATAGATGCTTACTTTAGGAATATCCCTAGAAATGCTAAGGCTTTATGTACCCCCAATTTAACGTTCTGGTTAATTAGTCCGGCCACGTTATCGTATCCACGTATTTGATTGTCTATGTGCAATCTGTCTGAAATTTTCTGATGATTGTGTCCATCTGCCGGTTCTACTCACCATAGAGGATCAGCGAGCGTTGAGATTCTGTTTAATTATTTATTTGTTGAACATTGTGGTTTGAACACGCATGCGCTCTTGATGACGGGTTTTCTGGGTGGGTGGATGGATACATCGCCTTTTGCTCTGGTGGGATTTGGGACGAACAGAACAGATTAGATCGGGGTGAGTGATAGACTCCCCAGGGATGAGGAGTTACAGTTTTGGGCCCCACTGCGGACGCCGGTGTTGATCGTGGTGATGGTTATAACGGGGGTATCTCTAAACCGAATTCTGGACCCCCGGTCTGTCAGCGGAGAGATAGCGATTGTCTAACTCCCCTAGGATTTTATATACGCGTGTCTGTTATTACAGTGGCTGGTGTGAATGTGTAGCGGGGGGNGGGGGGGGGGGGATGATGGTAATTAAACACCAATATGTGATTGATCTCGTTCGCGCGCTCTCTGCATCCATAGAGGTGGATTAACTAACGGGCATATTAGTGCATATTTGAGAACAAAGTCAAATCGGTCTGTGAATGTGCATGCGTGAAATCCGTTTGTTTGTTTGTTTGTGATCAAACTAAATGAGGAGACCAGACGATATCCGCGAAAAAGGTCTCGCTTGACTGATTCACCTCCACTGTTCACGCCATTATCCGGCATCACGCACTGTGATCCTGGTTTTGCATGCCGCATGGTGCAGATCACGGACTCATGAGCACAACCAATGCGATTGTTCCGGTGGAATCCGTGAGTCGGGTCATTGCAGCGCGCACACACACACGATCGTATACATGTACTTTGAGTCGTTTACTGACAAAGAAACATTTTGATTGACCTTAAATGCAATCTGGGTGTGAACACATTTGGATCTCGCATTAGGAGAAACGTCAAATATATACACAATGGTGTCATTGCAAGCTCGCACGTGTACGTAAGATCATAGCGCCAGGTTTATGTCATTATATCTAATTATGTTTGTCTACCTATTTTTCCATACCCATCAACTTGTTTTTATGTTCTATTTAGTCCTTGGACAATCCACCGCTCTCATGCAGTCTCAAATACTGTGTAACCATGACACCAAGTCCACGATCGCAAGGCAAGAAACCGGATCGTCTACTCGATGAGTCCGAACAAGACAGGGTCAACTGCAGACCGGGAATGCCAAAAGTGAGTTTATACACACCACTCACCCACAACTGCACAGAGACTTTTTTGGTGTGTGTGTGTGTGTGAGTACCATCGCACTGTTTCCGCATTATTTCATCAATCCCCGTGTATTGATTCCATTTTCAGGTGAACTTAACGGCAACATTTGTGGCGAAGCGACCCCGACAGCGATCTCCGTTACTATCCACAGAGAGTACAACACCGGTTCTTAAAAGTGTACGTTCCCGTTTTCCGAATATTCTTTTGA